CGATAACGACCAAACGGATATGATTTTGGGCTTTGTATACGACAGTCAACAACAGATACGTATAGTTAATAATAATCAATCGGTTTATTGCAGAAATAAACACGAGTTTATTGTTTCAAATTGATTGCTGAACACAATTAGAGCTATGATTATAAATGATATTGTGGTATAAATAATTAAATGTTAATATTTATAAATTTTTAAAACCATATTTCAGAGACAAACTTATTATACATATTATACACACATAAAATGTGCTGTTAATTAAAAAACTTGTATTTAAAAGTGATAAATAAATAAATAAAATTAACAAATGGACTGATGTTTGAAAATAGTTATCTTAATGATCTATCGTCGGCGACCACTCCTAGTGTTTGAGACAAATATATTTTTGGCGTTAAAACACTCTTCTTTCTCATCGGTGGTACAAATCCGCAACTGTTTGTCCTTATCGTAGACCAAACCGATGATCAGATCCGTGTTGTCAGACAGCGGCCGGTTGTAGGGAATGGCCTCCACTTTCCAGTACGTGGGCACTCGACCCTACAAGTGACAAAAAAAACTACCATGATAATTAATATAATTAAAGAGGTAATTCAATGCACATACATCATAGCATCCGCTGTCTGGACCCAAGTATAACACGACAGGCATTGTGTACTTCTGGTCGATGTTAGTGCACAGACGACAGGCCGGCATTTGCCACCTCTCACGATGAAAGCCCAGTATGTATTGCCGACCGAAACACGTGAACTCCGGTATGATTACAGTTATGGCCACGTATTGGGTGTTTGCTGGTATGTAAGCTGTGGGAGGGAACGGGTAGGTTAGGCCATAGTATGTAAAGTGTATTATGTAATAAGGGATGAATTACTGGGCATGAAATCAATCTCGGCGTGAAGTGGCGAACCCCTCACTATTGAATACACTTGCGGTATATCCTCCTTATGTGACAATTGATATAATATGCGGATCTCTTTGATGGCATTGTTTCCCTCTAGGTTGAAATGAAAAATTAGTTTTATTTTGTTTACTAATTATTTATATTTATTAATACTTACTAACGTCGACCATAGTATCCAAAGGACCACATATAACTGTTTTGTGACACATGTTTAGCAAATATATCACTATTAATGTAATACTGTTTAGTAAATTCATTTTGTGTTTTATATTTTGCTGAAATGAATGCATTGTATGAATAAAACTTACAAAACATTTGAATATTTGATTTGCTTTCACTGTATTATTTTGCGATAAAACTTAAGGCATGTTTACTTATGCCATAATAATAATAATACACGTGTTTAACATTGCAATTTAACATGTAAATATTTGATAAAAACTAAGATTTAATTTACATGTGTTTTTACATGCAATTTTACATGTGTTTTGAAAATTCAATATTAATATTAATATCAAAAACGTGTTCACAACTGAGTTGTTGTGATAACATATCTCTGATTGTTATCAATTGTTTTAATCTTGTATTTGTAGTCCAAATCTATTTGACTTGATTTATGTTAAAATCTAATAAATGAAATATATTTTAAAATTATTATCAAATGCAATGAGTTTTATGAAAATGTTTTTATTATTATTCAATAAAACTAAGGAATAATTTATAAATTGTTTTGATTTTTGAAAAAGTTTGAAAAGAATTTGTTTTTAAAATTTACATTAAATTCATGAATAAAATTATAATTTAAAATAATGTTTTAAGTTTGTTTAACAATTTTTAAATAGATTTAACAATTTGTAATATCAATGAAGTTGCTTATGTAACGAAACCATTATAATTATGATCATTTTATATGAATGTTTAAGAAATGTTAAGTTAAAATTTAAATAATCTTATTATATTTCATAAATAACTTTAAAATTTATATATTTTAATATAGTTTTGCTAAAACTTTGAATTCAATTATTGTTTGATTTTTAATATATAGATATAAATTATTGAAAATATTATGCGTTTTATGTTTTGCTAATTATAATAAATTTTTTAATTAGTTTATAATAAATGGTTATTGTTTTAATGTTAATCAATATAATAAATTTTGCAATAGATCTCGATAATTAAAAACAAACAATTTGTTGTAAAATATAATTATTTCAATGTTTTGATTAAAAGTCTAAATCTGTTTTATATGTTTTATTTAATATTCTGTTAAGGTTTCTATGAAATCACTAATAAACCAGATATTGAATTATGTAATCTATAATTATATGAAATAATGCATTAATTCCAGACTGAATATGGTAAATATTTTAAAGTTAAAATAAAAACCAAGTTTGTTTTGTTATTTATTTATATTTTGTATAAAGTTATAATGAATTCATAAATATTATACGATTTTCTCCACATTTTATTTTCCCATAGCTTTAAAAATTCAATGTATTTCTAAGTCAATGGTATTCATAGTGTGTTTTGCATTACATTTTGCCATTATTTATGGTAAATTATTATTGTTGCCTTTCTGGTGATGGTGTTGAATATGTTTAATATACGCTCTATTTCACCATCAGCTTAATCTAAATATTTATATATTATTTCGCAAAATGCACAAAATTCTTGTTGTGTTGTGATTCTGGTTTTGCCTCTCATTATCTGATGGATAATAG